AGCTGATGAATACTCTTGGGAAGAGTGCTGATGAAACCACTAACGTCATCCATCTCATTCTATGTGACCTTTCCAAGGACCAACAGGCAGGACAATGTAAGGACAGCAGTTTGCTGAATATTGTTTATGTTTAAAGACTTACAATTGCAGAACATTTTTAATAATATACTTCAAAGGAACTGGGAGGACCAGTGATCAAGAGTGATTAAATGTTATATCCATGAGAAATCACTGCCAGTGAGTGGCTGCCCTACTTGGCTTTTAACCTGATTTCCTAGTCACACTCATTTCATTAAGGAATTTAGATGTATTAGATAACTTAATATCTGTCCAAAAAGTCTCTGATTATATGTCTGCATAATCTGCGTGATAATGGTTGTGATAATAAACAACGGTTAGCAGGGGGAAATAATGGTGTATTAAACTCGTCCCCTAACATTTTTTTTACAACCCGGTAACTTGCATTCTTTGTTTTAAATCTTGAGTTCACTGAATTCCCATGTGGTTTCTTGTATAAGTTTGGAGAAATCACTTGCATCTGTAATTCAACTGGACATTGAAATGTTTCACTGTAGAAAGAATGTTTAGTCCATACAGAACTCTTTGTAATATTCTCTTCTCACAATAGCAATATAAAGAAGAAAACAGGTTAATTTTATTTCAGAAAAATCTAGTAGTTTTTCCCCCCCTGAATCTAAGAAGCTAAATAACTGGCTAATTGGGGACCAAATAAATGCAATAAATCTTTTGCAGGGCCAGTACGTTTTAACAGCCAGCTTTCCAACAAAGAGCACAGAAACAAATGGGAAAAAAGTGTTGCATGCATCATTCAACTTAAATTAAAGGTAAAAAAAAAATGCTTGTGCCTCTGTCTGTCTGTCTCTGTCTCTCTACGTATACACACACACACACACACACACACACGAATTTAAAAGCAGGTTTTATATGCTCTGGAACGTATAAACAGGCTGAATTTAAAATTAAAGTAGATTTTATATGCTCTGGAACGTATAAACAGGCT